AGAGAGAGAGAGAGAGAGAGAGAGAGAGAGAGAGAGAGAGAGAGAGAGAGAGAGCATGTAACAATGCTTAAACAGGGTACAAATTAGAAAACAAGTGCATATGTGTGTATGTGTACTTCTCAGCCTTCGCTTTGGTTCGTCACTCTCAGGTGTACTTTAAATCCAGGCTGCACACACTGTCCATTCATGCATCCACACACACACATACACACACACTTAAACGACACAAAGCACTTCTATAAACAGAGCTGTCCCTGTGTGTTTCCCTCTCTCTCTCTCTCTCTTACACACACGCACGCACGCACACACACACACACACACACACACACTTTATAGGTATGTGTAACATCCTCCCTCCAGGCTCCACCCCTCAGCCCCAGAGCACACAGGCTGGTTGACCTGAGAGGAGGAGATAGCTGAGGAGGTGTTGGTGGGGAGGGAGTACACAGAGCTCAAATCCATTTCTGCCACTGCTGCTGGAGGCTCGGCACATTGCAAAGGCATATGGAGACGCACAAGGAGCGGAGACAACACAGATGGCTATTGACTGGACCCTGCTGATAAACTACTGGGGACTACAGGACAGTGCATTCACAACGCTTCTATTACTCTGAGCAAAGGAAAAAAGTTTTTATTTTTTCATTCAGGAGCCAGCTGATATTCCTCTGAATGGAAAAACATAGTTTGAGATCACAGAAGATGGGAATGTTTTTGAGGAGAATTTAACAGCAGAAGTAGATCAAAGTGAGTAACACCTTATTATAAATCAGTAACGAGCTTTTAAATAACTAATTTGAATATTTAAATACATATATTCTTATTTAAGTGCAAAAGTCCTRTCAATTCTTTAACGTCTTTTCCTCTGGGTAAAAATAATTAGTCCATGACCTGAAACTTTCACTCTGTACCTGCACAAATTTAATTACAAACTAATCTAGGTCAGCCACTCTGTTTATCTAGGCATAGGAAAAAAGTATGTCACTTAAGCTTTGTGTGCATTATTTATTATTTATATTTCGTTTGAATCAGTGAATGTTTATCAGAGCAATGTTCTCACCACCGGTTTCAGCATTGTGTTTTTTTTTTAAACTTTTCATCCAAAATGCTTGAATAAAACAAAATGYGATGTATTTAAAATTTTTAAAACATGAAACATTTTTTAAATCCTTCCATTCAGATAAAACAACACCTCCTTGTGATCGTTCACCTGCATAACTCAATCAGTTTGTTGCTTATAGAAAATAAAAATGAGCCGTACAGTTTAATCAACAAATTCAAGATAACAACAAGTATGGTTATTTACATTAAATATGACATTTTGATTTATTTTTCTGCTTTGAATGCTGGATTTTCCAAAATGTATTAAAATTATTTCCATTTTTTATTTTGTTCTTTTTTTCTTGTCTTTCTATGCAATTTTTAATCTTAGTTTCAGTTTTTAGATATTTTAAGTACTTATAAGAGTGCTGGATTGAAAGTATTTTGTCTAATTAAAATGTTTTTTGTCTTACGTTTTTCCATGAATGAAAAAAACAAACAGCTTAGCGCTTGTAGAAGTGATCTGCTGTTACATGTTTTATTAATGGACTGTGATGATGTCGCCTCTTTTTACGCTTTGTCTTGTAGCCAAACCGAGCGAAGGAAAAGGACACACATGAGAACAACTACCATGCACTGACAAGGTAGGGGCCAGAGGCTTCACCTTACCTTCAGGGTGTTTCTGTTATTTCTGCACTTGTCCCTTTTTTAATTTGTTTGTTTCTTATGTTTGACCATGCATGTGTCCTGCCCATATTCTAAAAGGACGATTAAAGGTCTTTTCGTTGACAGAGGAGATTTGTTATCCCGGGCTGGCTGAGCCTTGTGTGCGGTTTGTTTGATTTGTCAAAGCTCATTGATTTATTGCCTGACTTCAGAGGAAGATTAACAAAACAGAGCTCCATTTCCATCGACGGCGAAGCCATAATCGCAGAGTTTTCCCTGGTCAAACCCCCATCTTCACATCTTTGAACATTAAGTCGCCACAGAGCGTCAATCAGAAACTTAACTTTGCTCACAAGGTGCAATCACGTTGCACTCCCCCACCACATAATTTATTACCATACATAATGGCACAAAATCAGCCCCTTGATTGTCGCCTCCACCAGTAAAACCCCCCTCATCACCACTGTTGTCGTCACCGACAGCTCAGCCTGCTTTCTGTCAGTGGACCGTTTCATCAGATCTAAGCATGGCAGCTGCCGTCCTCCAGGCCTGTTTTGGTGGCAGCCTCTTTTTTTCATTCTGTAGGGGGAATACTCTAAATTTTAAATCAGMTGAGCGACGTCCCCGCTTTGTAAAGTGGCACAAGTTTGCTGCTGGTGTGCTAGTTAATGATACATGACAAGTAAAACAGACAGTGGTCTTATGAACACTCATTATYGGTGAATGATAGGAGGACTTAGACCTTCTTCTTCTTCTGGACCAAACTTTGTGACGACACAACAAACAGCTTCAGTGGCGCAACAGAACCAAGATGAGGGCGAGGGATGATCTTATAATCAGGAGCAATGACTCGTGGGCCTGCGGGATTAGCATTTCAAGGTTTGTTTGGACCGCAGCTGGTAGCGAACAGGCCGATCTGTGTGACACAGATGTGTTGACAGAGATGAACGAACCATGAATGAAGAGGCGTGAATCTGATTTTTTAATGAGTACATCTGGTGCGGCACGTCCAAATGCATGAATATGGACAGAGGATCCAGGTGTCATTGATCTGAGTCATTCAGAAGGTAAATTTATACTTTGTGTGTGTGTGTGTGTGTGTGTGTGTGCTTGTGCCAGCGCTGATCTAATTATATGTGAGGGTTCAAAGAAGAATGGATGGTCAGAGCAACAGATCATGCAGATGAAATGCCAAACAGCAACACGAGTGGCACCAAATGACTCAGCTGAGCTTTTATTGTGTAAGGATCTATTTATCAATGTGTAAATCTTCATGCTATATTAAGAAGAGGAGCATTTAGTGATACGCTGGTTTTGGATGTTCTGCCTCGCTGAGCTGATTGCGCCGCTGTAATCCTGCTTCATGCTCCCAGCTTCCATTAACGAGAATGAGATTTAAAACCAAATGTAAATTAAAGGCCCAGAATTCCTCGAAGGAATGCACATCGCCTTCCGCCTTTCAGAGTTTTTAGATTRAAACCATTTTATGTTGAGAGATGACCGAGTTCACATCTTTTTGGGAAAATAAAATCATGATCATCATCTCATGATGTTTTACAAGATGTCACATTAAAGGTTTGTGTTGTAAATGACACTCAGCTCATATTACACCAAATTCAAGCTTCACGTCTGTAAAACTGACTGAGTTAAAACKATTTCAGGGATCGCTAAGATTGCTTAGCTGGGTCACCTTAAACTGGATGAACTCCAAAAGTTAATCAGTTTTAGATGTGCATCCAATCATTACTCGGTGAACGTTTTCTGAAAGTCTGTCCAGTGGTTCATGAGATATTTTGGCAACAGTCTGACAGGTTTTACTCCAAACTACACAATGTCAGGGGCCGTCTTCTCCCCAGTTTTTGACCTTTGATGACAGGAGGAGGAGGATTGTCYGGGAAAGAAGAATATAGAAGGAGTGGGTTGATGAAAATAACAGGTGACAGAAAAAATAAAAAAAGAGAAAGGAGAGAAGATTAGAGGGGGAGCTTACTATGTGTTGTTTTTGGTTCACGCTGGGCTGCTAATGAGGACTGAGGGGTTCCCATCGATCAGACCGGGTCGGACCTTGTCAACGGGAACTAATCAAGGGACTGACAAGCTCAAACAAGACAAGAGAGGCAGCAGGGAAAGTGACTGATCTTTCATTATGTTTGGATTACAGCTCCTAACGTCTGCACACCTGTTCGTTAGCAACCGAGGAAACAGCTGTCTCTGAACGGCTGAGAATTTTACAGAGTTGGGCCTAAATACCTCTGCAGATGACATCATTAACTAAACTATTTTGGAGTCAGTTTTATATCTAAATTCTCATATCCTACAATCGTTTTTTTTTTTTTGACTGTTTGCAAGTTTTTACAAACTTCAAACTTATTAAGTCAACCAGCAAAATACAAATAAAGAAAAACGTTTTGCACAAAATTTAAAAATTCATACAAATTTAAAAAAAGGAAAATATAAAAAAAATTATAAACTTTTTATGAATAATGTTAAAATAGAAAACCAAAAGACTATTACTTTTGAAAGATAATAATTTAGAATTTCTTGCCTTTTTCAACATTTCATAACCTAATTTTTTGCATTTTTGTGTTCTTAATTTGTATATTAAGTTTGTGAAACGTTTGGACTGCAGGAAGGCCAGGTTAACAACTCAACTATTTTAGAAAACTTTCAGTTATTATCWATTTTGATTGTTCGGGTTTGTTTGTTTGTTTGTTTTTGTTGTTTGTTTTTTTCAGTGTTAGGAATTCAAAACATTCGTGGAGGTTCTTTTTCTCTTGTGTGGGAATTATCTTTACCATTTTATCTCAGAAAAGACAGTGTATGTGAGGGTGTGTGTACTTTGTGTTATTTTCAAAATTTCACCAAAGTTTAATCTCCACCATTTCACAACATAAGGTGATTTTATTTTAAAACTCTGGCACTCCTTCAAGAAATACTGGGTTTCTAATACTATATATATATATATATATATATGACTGATTTGGTGCCACTCGTGTTGCTGTTTGTATATCTTTTTTGCTTTCGAACTTTATTTATCACCAGAGTTTTTAGTAATAATTGTATTTAAGATCTGTTCTTGCCTATTCTATTGCAAATGAAACCAAACAAAAATCTATCCAGTTTTCAAAATTTTGTTTATTTGAAGTCCTGTCCAATTTATGGCTCAGGCTACTCACTGCTGACATCTCTTTAAAAAATGACAACATGTGTGTCTTAACAACAAGAATTTGCACCAATTTACCAAAATGATAAACGTTTTCTCTTTAAAATATGCCTCGCGGTGACATCTGGATATATAATTTGTAATAGTTTTAGAGGACTACATTTTATAACCTAGCATGGCTGGAACATGATGTAGCTTGTTAGAAAAATGACCAAAACATGTGTGAGCAAAGGATGACTGAGTTGTTAAAAAGATATGGTTTGAGTGGCTGGTCCTTGTAATGTTGTTGTTATTGTTGTTGTTGTTGTTACTGCTGTTGTTGTTGTTTTATGCTCTTCAACATTCCTTTCTGTCATCCCTGAGGCTCGGTCAGGTTGAGCCCCATGTTCAGGAAAGTATGAGATGGAAAGCAAAGGACATGGAAATGGATGGTTGCCCACCGGTTTGCCTGTGGAGAGGGAAGCAGAGGGAGGGCTGGGGGGTGGTGAGGGTTCTGACTCCATCATTAATCAGACTGAAAGCTTTAAAGTAAAGAGAGGAAGCAATGCAGTGGACTAACTACTAAAAGCAGTGTTCACAGTCCATCCAGCAATGAGAGATGAGATAATTTGTACTTTACATCAAGTCAGTCAGGAAAAAAAACAGGCTTGTTGTGATGTGCTTGGAATACATTAAACAGCATCCAGCAAAATGTTCTGGATGCATGATGTTCATTCACTATGTGGGTATAAATTTCCTCCTCGTGCTGGAAACATCAGCACATGTAGTTTTGCGCTGTGCACAGGTCATGCTTTACTGTAGCTGAGCCACTGGACAATTTGAAGAAATCTCTCGATGCACAATGAGCCTGAGGCTATTAGATATATAACACAGTGTCCTTCAACAGTTAAGGACGTGATCAGCAGAYGTATTATATGTCAGAACAATATGTGCTGCTGTGAAGAATGAGATGAAGCACAAACTTAGCCAGGTCAGTAAACCAACAACTACGCTTTAAGACAGTTACTGTCAGCTCTTTGCAAATATTGTATTGATATGCTATGATACGGTCAGGGGTGAAGCACCAAATTCTGGGCCCTGTACACTGTCGATGTCCATACACGTCAACCTCTTTGAACGTTTACCCGTATAAAGAGCCCTAAAAATCCGTAAATTTCGCAAATAATCCGTACAACTCGCAGGGGGTGGGGGGGGGGGGGGCATCAGACTCCAGGACATGCAGTAGCTCTGATGAGGCGTATTGACCAAACCAAATTGTTTATCTAAAAGTTGTAGAGCGACCAAAACTTTTAACCAGCTGAGCAGGCCAGCCAGTCAGCAGGCAGACCACAGGAAACCTCCCAGTTCTGTCTGTCCGCAGCYCWTTCAGCTGTGTCTGGGTTACACACTTCCTGGTTGCTGTCGGGCAGACTAAACCATTTTGCACCTCCAAAAGGGGGCCCACAATGTCCAATGTGGTGTGGACAGTAAAATAAAGTTCGTTCTCTCAGTTTCTTTTATCAATGTATTTGAAATAAATTACTACACCAATTAATTGAAGGGCCCGTTTCATTTGGGAAAAAATAAATCAAAAATTAAATCAGGACTTCCATGGGTCCCTCTCCCTTCTTGGACCCTGGGTACTCAGGTCCACTTTCCCCCCACTTCCACGCCCATGGATACAGTACATGAGGATAGGACAGGATAGGACAGGATAGGATAGGATAGGATAGGATATATAATACAATGTGATATGGTGCAAAATGAAATGACACATATTAGACCATATGATACATAATGATATGAGATGGGAAGATATGATCTGACAATAGATAATTAGAAACAACAAGATATGATATGATATGATATCATTTCATATATGATGCGGTACGGTATGGTATATATGATACAATTCGGTACGATACGATACGATACGATACGATACGATACGATGCGATACGATATGGTGCAAAATGAAATGACATTATACAATTTTAACATAAGGCGATAAGACACAATATGGCATGGGAAAATATCTAACAACAAACAATATGATACAACACTATATGATGCAATACAATACAATGTGATGCAATATGATGTGATATTGTAAATTATGGTACAATATGAAATGACATGATACAACATGATAGARTAATACAGTATACAACAAAATACAACATAAGACTCAATATGATATGATGTGAAGATATGTTCTAACAATAGACAATACAATACAACAAAATATTACATGATATGTTATGATACAATACGATAAGATATGATATAATGCAATGCAACACAATATTGTAAATAATAGTACAATATGAAATGACATGACAACATGATTGAATATACAGTACACAACATAATACAACAAAAGAAAACAAGATACAACATGACATGAGAAGGTAAAATCTCACAATAGAAGATACAGTACAACAATATACGATATATGATTTGATATGAAATAAGATATGATGCGATAAAATTTGATACAATATGATACAATAAGATAATACGATATGAAATGACATGATACAACATGATAAAATAATATGATATAATACAACATAAAATAAGACACAATGGCATGACATTAAATCATATGATACAGTACAATACCATATGACACATAATGATATAACATGAGAAGACATGATCTGACAATAGGCAATACAATGCAACATAATATGACACGATACATTAGGATATTACAACTGCATAACCTAACCTCAGTGCTGTCGTAATACCAAACATTACAACAGATCTATAAATAAACCACAAAAACAAATATAAATGTCACAAACAAGATCCACCAATATTGCACAATGTATAATTTTACAAAATATATAAATATTTATGTAAAGAAGAATAAAAGAACAGATAAACAGGAATGTATTATTGCATAACCCCWACTACATACCCGGTCCCACAACTCATTCCTTTGGAGACTTTATTTAAAACTTTGGTCTGAGTGATTTCTTTACCAAATAAAACAATCCATTCTGCTTTTGAAGACTCTGTACTTCAGCTCTGACAGAAGAACTCATTCTCCGAGTGAAGGATATGTGAGTACAGCCTGCTCGTAAATCACCTGGAGGGAGGGGTTTTCATTCTCCCCAATCACCTTCATGGCGGTCTGTACCCGATGCAGTTTGGGGGACATTACATCACCGAGGTACTCTGGATTCTCCTCTGTGGCCTGCTATTACACCTCACCTGCATGGAGGCATTCATATAAAAAGAAAATTCACATGACAAATTAATCACATGGGCAGATATATATAATTAGATCATTTAGAGGTTATGAAGGAGCATGGCAGCTTTTATGAAAGGACTCATAAATTATTTCTGTAATTACAGAAAAGGACACAGTTCTTTTCAGTTTCTGCCTGAGTCAAGGTGAAGAGACAAACCGAAATCCCTTCAAAAAAAATCTTCAAGCAAAGATTTTGGATGAAGCTTGTGGATGAAGGCAAAAAAAYAAAAAATAAAAAAACTGGCAGAAGTTTATAAAACTTAAAAAAAATGTTCTTCTCTGTTCTGAGAAACTCTTTTCCACAACTCTTTATAACTCAAACTTTGTGCTGGACAGAAAAGACCATCTGGCCTGGTCCATCATTTGTTCATCTGAGCACATTCCTCTGGCAGGGCCATGAYGTAAAGCCTGCCTGTGTTATCAGCTGTGTTGTCTCTCACCCATCAATAGGTGCAAATTGGTCATAAGGTCTSGGCGTAACAGTGACAACATCCTCGTAATGGCTCATTAGCTGCACTTGATTGCTCAACGGTAATGCCAGACGTTCATTCCTATTTTTAAATGTGACTTATACCCAAACACKCTTTCATTCAGTGCAACACTTATGTCATGACTCTTTGCACATAAGTCGAAAGTAATAACTCAGCACGGGGTCAATCAACTCCTTCTCTGCTTAAAAACACATCACCTTTTAAAGCCATATTTGGCCACCTCTGCGTCCACAATTTGAGTCTTTTTTCCGTTCTATCCTGCTTATTTCTTCTTCTTTATTTAGAGCTTTTTTTGTTCCTATCCTTCCAGATTTTTCCTTAAAAGACAGGCAGTTTATTTGACCAAAGTTGCCCCCCGCGGCTACCCACGACTGTTTTATCAAATTGTCATCTCACTTTTCTCTCCGTCCGCTTTAGGGGATTTATTTTGGAGCAAAATAAACACAAAGTTTATTGTAATCGAGACGCAAGTGTGACATGAAGCAGGGGAAAAAGCACCCCCCCCCCCCCCCCATGCATGTGAAAAAAAATAAAGCAGTAGAGAAGGGAACAAAAAACAAGGGGAAAACAGGAATGTAGAGAGGGGGTCAGCATGCGATGAGAACTATTAGGAGTGCAGAGGTGAATGAATCAAATTGGTGGGATAAAGGGGAGAGCTGTCAATGTAACCTTGAGAAAGTTTGAAAAAGAAAACAAACCCTGAGAGGACTTGCGTCAGAAAGAATAGGAAATTTGGAAAGACAGACAAACAGACAGACTGAGGAGTTATTAAAAAAATGAAGASAGCACAACAATATAAAAATGGCAGCAAGATTGTTATATTTTTAGTCAAATATCAAAAGGTTACTCGAGAACACCTATTTGTAGTGTATTATGTGAATGTGTTCATTTAATCCACGTTTATTGTTTTATTAAAAAGGTTCAAGAGTTTTGGGTTCTCACCAGCTAAATGTAGAAAAGACAGAAAACAAAACTGCTCAGCTGATGAAAACCAGTTTAATTTAGGAAAGTTTAATCCCGGGGCTAAACACCATTCTGACGTGACGAATCAGAACAAGAGTTGTGTTTGTAAAAGGCTGCGCCTGGAAATATCCRAGCATGCAGAGGTTTCTGCGAGTCATAGTCACAGGTTAATGTTTAGGCAAACAATAAACACATTAACGCTTCGCTTGTTTTGCAGGAATGGAAAGAATCAGCGYGGAAACAGACTGGGATGGGTTAGGTCTCTCCTCTCCGGGCGCCGCAGGAAGGAACATCTCCTTGTTTGTCACTGAGCTGAACTCCTTCAACGCTTCTCGCAGTGGGGGATCCCTGTTCGGGATCTTTCCTGAGAATGGCTCCAACACCACTCCTCACACCCTGTCTCAGCCCAGGACCCGGGACCAGGGCTTGGCTCGGGCTGAGATTGCGGTCCTAGGGGTGGTGCTGGCTCTCACCACCCTGGGCAACAGCTTTGTGTTGTGGGTGCTCCTGAGGAGGAGGAAGCTCAACGCGCCGATGCACCAGTTCATGGTCAACCTGTGCGTGGCTGACCTGGTGGTGGCACTCTTTCAGGTCAGTTTCTCTGAGAAAACCTGAAAAGTGGCTTGAATGAGTGCTGGATGACTGCTGAAATCTGTTGAAGAAGCTAAAACTGAGTTATTATGGCTAAAAAGAAGCAGAACACTAGCTAAAAACTGAAAGGAGCAAAAGGCTGGCTAAAATGCCGAACACTAAAAAGAGCAAAACACAAAAAATAGTAGCAAAATGCTAAAAGCAAAAGCTCGCTAGATACTGAAGATATCAAAATGTTAGCTAAAACTAGAACACAAAAAGGTTTTCTAAAGGGTAAAGGTGGCGTATATATTTCAAGTTGTATATGGATTGTCTGTAATTTACACAGATTTTCCCTCATTTTGCAGGTATACGGATGTATAGAACAGTCTCACTGATTTTCTTTAGGTTTTACTGATTTTTTCAAAAGCTCAATTTCAWRTTTATTTTACACCTGAGAGCTAGAAAATATATTCTCCACTTCTCCCGTCCTCCTTTTCTCCRAGAGAGTCCCAGCTACAAACCGTGGAATGGGGCGGGGTCGGATATTAGGCGGGGTCGGCTGGGGGGTCGGACATCTGCCCCTGCCCTCAACTCTGAAATTAACCAACCCAAGATGCTAAATTCTGAAATTAACCATTCATGATTTTTCAAGCTTCGTATCACCACGTTCCCAACACGCTGTGACCACGCCCACTGGACGTTCGACCCGTCTACTGTACGACCCCATCCCATTCCACGGGGGTCCTACTTGTTTTCTCCTGCTTTGCACTGCTGGTGTTATCTCTGACAGTCTTCTTGAGTAGGCCTAATATGGATTTTTTTGCTATAATCACGACTTTTTGAGGCTCGTTACAGTATACGTTCAAAGGGGTTGATGTGTACAAAGTAGCAAAAAGCTAACTATAACCTAAAAGCAGCAACATATAGCAAAATAAGGACTAAAGGCATCAAAAAGTTAGCTAAGGGCTAAAATTAGAAAAAGRGTAGCTAAAACCTAAAGGAGCAAAACTTTTTGCACAAAGTTAAAAGTATCTAAATGCTGGTCGTGACTAAAGGTAGCATTAGGCTATCTAAAATCTAAAGGTAGACAAAGACTGGCAAAGTTCTTAAGAAACGTAAGCTAGAAGCTGTAAAGTAACAAAAGGCTATCTTAAAGCTAAATGTAGCAAAATGCTGTCGAAAAGCTACAAATAGCAGCTAAAATAAGACAACTAGAGAAAGTTTACTAAAGCAGATTTCTGACAGAACTAAATAGGTCTTGATGCATTTCTGTTTGGAGAGCACTTATGACTAGAGGTGTCCCTCTAACTGAAGTACTCGTATTTGTACTCAGTCTTGAAAAAACTGGTATCGGGACACCCCTACTTATGACTATTAAGAGTGTTGAAAATCTTGTGAATGAGCTTAACGTTTTGATAAATGAATGGCTAAGATAGCACAACGTACGAACAAAACGTCCAAAAAATATTAACAAACTAAAGTACAGAAAACATTGTGTGAATGCTGACTCAGCAGTCRCAGTATTAAATGGACAAATATGACAAATCAATTGTTTGTTGTCATTTTGAAGTTGTGTTTGGGAATATTATGCTGTCTCATGTACAATTGATTTTCTGCTAAAGAAAAATCTTCAAATAATGCTTAAATAGTGCGCTCATTTTTCACCCAGTGTTTGTTTCTGTTTTTCTGGATGACTTCTCTCTCTCCTGCTGGTGATTTGTTTCAGAGTGCCACACCAACACAGAGCGTGGCTTTTAGACCCACATTCTCAGCAGTAATTACCTTTGTAATTACCTTCTGTGGCCAGAACGTTTATCTTCATCAATAAACACGGCTTGTTTCCAAATATTTTTATTTATTTATTTGTTGAAACTTCTGAGGTTGAATTTTTTTTTTTCCAGTTAATGACGCAGGAAATGTTTTCTTATAATGGCTTTACTGAGGTAGAGTCATTAAAACATTAGTCACATTGTTTGTGGCCGATGTGTTTGATAAAAAAAGTGCACCATCGCTCCAGGAATGTTCCTGTGAGGGTGTTATTTTGCAGTCACTGTTATTTCCTTTTTTTAAAAACTGAGGCTAAGTTACATGAAAGGTTCATTAAGTTTTAAATCATACAAAATAAAAAAAATTCACATTATCATAAGTATTAGGATGAAAATGTTCTACAAATCTTATTGATCACTCTCTTAGAAATTGAAAATTAACTTTTAAAATTACATTGCACGTCACAGGTTTTTTGATAGATCATTTTCTTTAAAGTCATCCTGAATTCATTTACTCAGTCGTATAGATTTAAAATATGCTATTATATAGAAAACAATCCAGAAAGTTTTGTTTAAGAACTGAACCTGAAAGCTTCTTGATAAGAACTCTATGCTTGTTTTTYTTTAAAAGGGAAGCTGAGTTGAGGCTTTTGACGTTTTTATTGCAGATCCCCTGAAATTATTCTGACAGAACAGTTAAAATGAGTAACTTGTACAATATTTCGACTACTTTTATGGTTTAAAGGATTTAAAGTGGAAATTTAAAAGGTCAAAAGCAGCACAGAACAGTACCGAAACTTAATGAAATTTTCACTTCTTTTTTACTTTTATCAAAATTAAATAAACTTTTGATGAATAAGTATGTATTTTAAACAAAAGGACAGTAAAAAATGAAAGCACAATAAATATAGCAAATTTTTGTTGGTTTCTTTGCTGCAACAAWACACTGGTGATGATATCATAGTGTTTGTGTATGAATGCTGTTTTGTCTCTGTTGGCAAAACATCTCTGAAACACTGGGCAGAATTTAATTAAACTCGCAGAAAGTAATCATGTGTATATTTACAACTAAGTAACTTTTGTGGACAACCTAATTTGACAACTAAGAATCATCCTCGGCTCACACTCTGAGTGTTAATAAAGGGAACAAGATTTCAGTTTCAAACTTAGCGCCGTAAAGGCAGCAATCTGCATTCCTTTTTACTGCTTTTTCTATAAACATTTCTGACAGTGTAAGATGGATTATGTTGACTTGGGGATTTTATTTATGCGAGACATTTTATGCAGTTCAAACATATAAACAGTAAGAACAAATGTGATGATATTTTCTATTGGGTACTTTAGGTTCCATAATTGGACAAACATTACTCCATTAGGAGCTGAAGCTCTATTTTTTTTGCCTGTAAACACACATGCTGTTGAAGTCAGCAGGATCATGTGTAATCCGCTGTAATTTGYGATGTACTGATGCTCATTCAGATAAGAGTAGCAGCCCGTGGCACGGAAGGATGAGCTAAAAGGCGATAATAAATATCATCAGACTTCTCCTTCAGAAATTCTCTGAAAAAAAAWGCAAATAAAAAGCTACACAATCATTTTATTAATTAGTTGTTTTGTTTATTTTTTGTCATTTATGTGTCCAGGTTCTTCCTCAGCTCATATGGGACATAACCGAGAGGTTTCAGGGGCCTGACCTGCTGTGCAGGTCCATCAAGTACTTGCAGATAGTTGGGATGTTTGCTTCCTCCTATATGATAGTTGCCATGACAGTGGACCGACACCATGCAATCTGCTGCCCGTTGCAGGCCTATCGCGTTGGGGCCATGTACCGTTGGAACACTCCTGTTATGGTGGCGTGGGGCCTGGCACTGGTGCTCAGCATACCACAGGTAGGGAGCAGTGAAGACATAAACCCTTTCTCACACACACACACACACACACACATACATGTACACACGGAGAGACACACAAAAACCCTAAACACATGGTGAAATAAGATCTCAGTGGGCGTTCACACCCTTGTTTCTACAGCGAAGCTCAAGATGTTGCTCTATTTTTAGCTCGATGAGGTCACTACAGTTCAGGTGAGAGGGGGAAAAAATAAGAAATCACCTTGTGTTCCGCCTGCGGCTGTTCTGACCACCCTGTCTGCTTGTGTCTGTCAGGTGTTCATCTTCTCTCGCTCTGAGGTGTCCCCCGGGGTGTTCGAGTGCTGGGGCAACTTTGCCGAGCCGTGGGGGCTGAAGGCCTACGTCACCTGGATGACCGTGGCTGTGTTCCTGCTGCCCGCCCTCATCATAACCATCTGTCAGGTAACACTGGTTCGACTGGTCTCGCTCTGCATCCACAAGGGCTGCTGATAACAGGACTGCGCGCACATCACACGGCGGCTCTATCCGTCAATGATAGTGCGTGTGGCACGAATGAAATGCGAGCTGCGTGCGGGGGTGGGGCGCCATTGTTGAGTGAACCATGGGACCCTGCAGTTGGTGCTGTGTAGCAGACAGGTGTTTTTGCCTGCCTCCTATCAGTCCTGCTCTATTTGGGGAAAGATATTTCTAGAGTCCAGCTATTCCTCCTAATTAAAACAGCACTTGGGGGGGACTGCTGCCGAGGTGGCTGCCCGCTCGGGGAGCCTCTTGCCGGGGGGTGGAATGCACCAGATCTCCGCTCAACTTAGAACCAATGACCTGTTTTTCAAGCTCCTGTTTCAAATCAAGAAGCATATTATGGCACTTTTTATAAGAGAGGAACAAAGGTTGGGGGCAACTAATTCAACATCTAAAACTGGAACTAGATCCAGCTTAAATCTGATGGACTTAGAGAGGAGGATTTGCCCTAAAGCCTTTTTAATAAAAAGATTGCAATTGTGTTTTATTCACATAAAGCACACAAACAATACCCGCTCAATTTCTTCAAGGATGTTAGTGTGAAGTACCTGGACAGAGATAGAGTCAGTGAGACCTCATAACCTAGCATACCTATAAAACCAGACATTTCTCTCCCCGACGACACTTTCAGCTCCTCCTGGGTCCCAAAGCGTTCCATYTCATCATCCTTCATGAACAAGACTCTCAGATCCTTAAACACCCCCACTTAAGGCAGATACTCCCCTCCAACCTCGAGGGACCATTATATAATATATCAAGAAAATGTAATGTTAATATCTCTGTAATAAAGTGAAACGGTGGTGGTGTTTTATGGTTTGTGCTGATGACCAACATACTCCTCTTTACATCCTGTCCCTGTTAAGCAGATTTATTTGCATCTGTCAGTCATAAAACTCACCTGGAATGATGGAATGTCTCCACTTCCTGACACTGACTGCCCTCTAAACCTCCTATTTCTCAGATACGAATTTTTCGCGAGATCCACAACAACATCTACCAGAAGTCGGAGAGGATGGTGATGGCTGAGATGAAGAGGAACGAAATCCTCTTTCGCTTCCACAGCTTCCAGAAGGAGGATGAGCGGGCCAAGGAGAGGGGGAGGAAGGCCTCTGGAGGAGGAGGAGCGGGGGGCGGCAGGGATGGACGAGGAGGAGGACAGCTCTTAAAGGCTGCGAATGACACTACCCACGGTCACATTCATGGCAGCCCGGTGGACGAGTGTTATGACTACGTCCCGGCTGTCATCCAGTACAGCAGCTGCCGCAACGAACACCAAACTGCAACAATGGACGAGCAAACGCCAAGCAGCTCTGACTTCAAGGAGCCCTGCGCCAACTCTCCCCGCTGCTCCCTTGATTACACTCCCCCTCCTCCTCCTCCTCCTCCTCCTGTGGTCACCCCACCTCCAAGTATCACTAAAGCCATGTCCAAGACGGTGAGGATGACCCTGGTCATCGTGTTGGTCTACACTGTCTGCTGGTCGCCGTTCTTCATCGTGCAGCTGTGGGCCGCATGGGATCCTCACCCTCCAGATCAAGGTAGGTCACAGTAAGGACGTGTGCAGCCCCACTTAAAGAAAAACAAACAAAAAAAAAAAAACAGTAAAACAAGAAGCGCAAACATCTGCGTCTCAGGGATTTCGAGTGAATCTCCCTGATGTTGTTTTCCCACCAGATGGATTGCGACTCCTCGGCCCAGTTAATCCGTTTAATTGCTTCAAATGAGCAAACCTGACCCTGTTTTGGCACTAAAAGCTAAGTGATTGCATCTGCAACCTCTGATCAGTGCTGCTGTCCATCTTACTGAGTAAAGATCGTTCATTATTAAAGGGACCATTCATTATTTCAAGAACAAGCTCCAGCTCCGATGTTGCAGCGAGGGGTGAAGCTGAAGGTGAAAAACACTGTTTGTTTTGAGCCACAACCAGAAAAAAACCCTCTGGATCAGATGTCTCAGTGGATTTTGGCAAACAAACGGCATCTGTTGATGTCTTTACTGGCAGCAGATGAGGCAATCCATGCTGACTAGTTCCACCTTAAGCCGTGAGTGACAGCTTGGACTGAGAAGGCGTCCTCTGATCTCAAGATAAATACACCCACCAGAGGTGAATACCTGTAAATAACTTGTTTATCACCCAGATCATTTTGCAACGTTCCGTTGTGTTGACATGTCACCAAGACTGAGCCACACCAGCAGCTCGCACACACTGTCAAAAACACATGCACGGGACAAAGTGTGTAAACATGTACGCACAAGCATGCATGCATATACAGAGTGCGCACACACGCAGCTACAAGTGTGCTTAAATATGAAAGAGTCCTTACTGGCAGGCTGCTACAAACACACACAGACACACACACATCTGATTGTTATCAGCTTCGTGTTTAAATTTAAAAAAATCTGTTTGTCCTCATCTGCTGTCCTCAAGTGGCCACRTAGAAATAAACATGCTGTAGCTAATAGACCTATTAATAGGAGTAAAACAAAACAAAACAAAACAAAAAAAGCCAGAATGTGAGATTTTGTTCTCTGGGGGATATATTTAGCTCACCAGGAAATAAAGCACGAAACAATAAACATAAATGCTTTCTGTTCAAACGGAAGAGATTTACATTCTTGTCTTTGTTTTCTTGAGGAAAACAAAAACACTTAAACTGTAAACTGTCCTCAGTTTGTCCTCGGCCTGTGTGGTAAAACTCACATCGTTATCACCCGACGCCAAAAGGCAGGTTGAAAGAACAAGTAGGATTGCAATAWRTGACTGTGTGTGTGTCTGTGTGTGGTGGTTTTTTTTCTTAGCAATAAAATATAAACCAACATTGATGAATTTTAGTGACAAACCTTTAAGGTAGCACAGTTCAAGATGGCCACCACAGCTAATGGGTATAAGTTAAGAAGAAATGTCGACACAGTCAAGCCCTGAAAAGTTTGCGGACTCAGACTTTTGGGGAGTTTTATGTAATAAGGTGGAACTGGAAATATGGTAAAGTAAGGGATGTATTTTTTTGTGATTTTTCATGAGTTTCCAAGTAAAATGATTTAGAACAATATCATTTACTAATTTTGTAACATAAATGTTAATGTAAATTCAGTTCCAAAAAAAAAACAACAAAACTATACGGTGCAGTACGTGACACATGCTCTGCCCCGAGCGCAGCATTAGCTTCTAACAGTACCGTACAGCATTGTGTGGTTTGTAGCTGCTAACTGTTTATTAATCATGTGTTTTTGTTTAGTTCTTACCGCATGCCATCCCAAATGGGTTATATTGTTCTTTTCTGGAACACACCCAATATTCATATGTTTTCTCGACTCACGGTTCTGGAAGAATGTAACCCCAAGGAAAATCTGGGCTTAGAGTATATTACCTATACTATACTAATACTACAGTACAGCAATACTATACTAATATTACCTAATTTCCCTCTGGGATCAGTAAAGTATTTTTGAATTGAATTTGAATTGAATTGTATTCTGAGATACACTCCAAGCACAAGCAAGTTTGAGTGCACATACTGTAGCCCTTTTTCTCAGAATCTGAAATCCTGTCATTAAAGGTGGTGGGCGATATGCATTCTAGAATGCTAGGTCTTTAACTTTCTGCTGTTTTTGTCTCATCTTTAGAATACGATTATATATATATATATATTATGTATTTATTATCATTTTTATTTTTTTGGTGTGTTTGTGTTCTCAGTAGGAGTGGCCTTCACTATCCTGATGCTGCTGGCCAGCCTGAACTCATGCACCAACCCGTGGATCTACACGGCTTTCTCCAGCAGCGTGTCCAGAGAGCTCCAAAACCTGATCCACTGTCGGACACGGCTCGGCCGCCGGGGCTCCCTGCCCGACGACTCCACGGCCACGCACACCTCCTGCACCAAGGACACCCAGTACTGATGGGGCCGACGAGACGGAAGCTCGCACGCCGAGAACGCGCCTGGAAATGCACCAGCTGCAAGGACGTGCCGCTGCACAACAGATCCACCGTCAGACGCAACGTCACAGCTGCAGAACGGCCTGACCTCTGCCAGCTGCTTGCAGCTACAAAGACAGCTGTTTCATCAGCAGGACATTCATCTGTTATCACCTGTCTCCCCCACCCGTCTACTAAAGGAAGGGTGTCATTGGAGATGTCAACACCGTGTGCAAGCTAACCTCTCAGTGCAGCCGAAATGCAAAATGACCTGGAAAGTAAAGAGATTCTGACTTAAGCAGCTCCCGAGGCGTGCAGCGAGTCAAGAGAGGAAAAAGAAAACAGGAACACTGACTGACTCTGACACAGCGGAGCAGCAGGAATGTAAAAGACGGGTTGCTGCGTTAATGAGCTCACATGTAAGGTCCAAAACAGCAAAGAAATGCTTGGGATGGAAAGAGAACCAAGCAGCAGTAAAAAAGAATGCTACAGATTAATCTGCACAAAATGTGTTGGATTAAAGAAAAACAATTAAAAACAGGAACTGGAGGCTGAGCTCAGATTCAGTTCAGCTTTGAGGATTCGCCCAAAAGAACAGAGGACTGGAGTTGAGACACAGCCCCGCCAGGATACTGTGGATTAATACACAGAAAGAAAAAAACACCCTCAAACAAACAAAAGAGGGTAATAATTTAACAAGAACAAACAGATTATCCACAACCAAGTGGGTCGCCATGAAGTGACTGCTTGTTGTGCAAACAGAATAAAAGTCGCACTAAATGACGTTCTGAACTCTTGGAAGTATGAAACATAAACATTATGTTGAAAAAGGAATGAAAACGTTTTTGTAACATTCCATGCGCAGCACAAACAATGTAAAGTATATTTATTGAACATGTACGGCACATTAAATGTTWATACACTTAATTTAAAAAGAGCTGAATGTATATTATAAACTGTAATGATGTCAAACCAAAGAGTGTCATAGWTCCTTTGAGGTGGATTTCTGTGGAAAGGTAAAGAAAAGCAGCTAATATCTTACCTGTTGCAGACGGCGTTATGAATGATCTCAGACTGGATAAAACGACTTAATCCTGATTGGATTGAGGAGTGAGCCAGACAGGAACAAAGGTTATAGTAGACTTTTGCAACTAAAAAACTCTAATCCCTAAAATTCTATTCTGCTTCATACAAACAGTGTTTTATAAACCATCATTTTCAGGTTTGCATTACATGGATTTTTAAATAAGAGTCGGCAAAAGCAGCTAGCAGCAGCAGCAGCTAACAGTGGTGCTTTAGCTGCAGCTAGGGCACTTCAAACTTCAGTTTTCTAATGTTTCAGGTGGAATAAGAATATTATGCGAAACTAACTGATGTAATTTATTTCTTTAAAGCATTCACGTGAACTCCTTTGTCATTTTTAATATTGGAGCTGTTTTAAGACAACAGTACTTTGGTCTCGACCCAGCTCGGATAGTGGTGATGTCACTTAGCAGTGTAGCTACTGACAAGCTACACAAAGCTGTCTGTCTTTGATTTTTTACCTGGATTACTGAGATGCATCAGGACACTGTCTGTTAAGGTACATGTAGTTGATTCCCAGTCCACTCTTTGTCCGGAGTCTTAYAGATACAAAACCTTGTCATCTCAGGATATTAAACCTCTTTTGATAACTTGTCGCAACAAGTACTCTTTTTTTTCATCTCTTTTTTAACCATAGTATCCTGTTTACTGACACTTGCTGTGTTCAAGGAGTGGACATACTTTTTATTAATTACTAGACAAAGGAACATAATGTGGAAATTAAGTGTTTTATGTGGTTTATTTTATCATCATTTAACCCACACACGAGATACACACWAGTGCTGCAGGGRGCAACTATTTAAGCRCCTAGGGAGTGCTARGTGTCTTGCTCAAGGACACCACGACGTACAGGCACGACTGGGAATCGAACTTGCAACTTTATGGTCCCGGGACAGCTGTCCTACAGTTGTGCCACAGCCACCAAGTTGAAGGTGAAACAGTGAGAGCGCCCCCTGTAGGCTGGCTACAGTACAACTTTAAACCCATGTAAACAAATGGAACATTTTCCTGATTAAAAAGTAAAAACACACCTCCTGTAACCTTYCCCAGAAGAGGATTTATTTTGGTTTGCATAGTTTATATCTTGTGGCTATTTTTAGGAAAACATTTTAACTTTTTTCTTTAATTATTATTATTATTAGTTATTTGATACACCTGAAAAACACCACAATTGGAAGAAATTTGCCCATTACTTTTATATCAGTGGTTTAACCTCTTTACTTAGTTATCTATATAGTCCATAAAAGAGTGAGTGAGCGAGTGAGCGAGTGAGC